CATTCGAGTTCGAAGTTTCATGAGTCTTTTTTAGAAAAAGGATAAAAATACAAAGGGGACGCGCTTTCGAATTCACGGACCGGCGTGAAACATAATTTTGTCGCTGATAAAAAGTTCAGTTCGAAATAATGTAGGTTACATGGAGTTACTTAGGTTCCCCCGTAATAATAGATTTCCTCGCTATTAATCGGCAAACATTAACGCTCCACGGGGGCGGGGGGAGGAGGGCGGGGGGAAACAATGGCTGACTCAATGGTGATGCAAACTCTCTCGAGTAGACGGCGAGCGAGAACTCTCGCGAGATGCAATTCGGTCTCGCGATAGCGCTTACACGATCCGCACGGCGTTTACGTAACGTCACAATTTAACTGGCCGCGCGAGAAAAATCGTTTTCGCGCGCGGGAATCCTTTCGCCGTCCTTCTCGCTCCCACGTCTGCGGCAGCCGGCAGAAGGAAGTCGAACGATCCGACTCGTAATCGTCGCGGGGTTAAGTGTGCCCATTCGGCCGGGTTTTACGTTGCCTCGCCAATTAAGCGTATTTAGCAACCGCGATTGCGGTTGGTGTCGTTATCGCGGTTACAATCGGTTGTCAATTGACTTCGATTATGTGATTATGCAGGTGGCTGTGGCACCACCTCTCTTGTTAACGACACATTATGCGCCGGATCGGGAGCGGACTGTGTACTACACTTGCGTGTAATTTCGCTTAAATGCTTAATTATGGATACACCGCAGATCGCTGATGAGACGCGGATGTTATGAATATGAAAGTTCACGATTGATACAACGATGATCATTTCTGACGCGCAACTCGCTCTTTTTGCTATATTTCGTCGCCGGTAAAGAAGAAGATTACATCAGCATTACGGAAGCCTGCTTTTTTTTTTAAGCAAATGCGTCATAAATTCTTTAATCGAGATACTGATTCCTCCGATATATACATATTCGCGGGCCGTTGTAAATTTCACTTTGTCACACCAACGACAGATTATTGTACACTTGTAGAGTAATATTTCTCAAACGACGAAGATTGTCGAACGTGTATTCGACCGATTTATTTATGGGCAACCGATTTATTGTGAGAGTGTCATATATTTACGAGCGATCAAGAGTGCTTACATATACCGTACTTCCAGCTGTCATCAGTCAAACCTGTCGTTATGTCCAGCTTATCTCTCTTACACACGTTCAAACTAGTGTTTCACACACTAGTTTGAAAATTTACGCGTCCGTGACGCGGAAAATTTCGTCGTGTCGTGACTAATTGGCGAGACGGTTGAATTAAAAAGAAACAAAATTCGGGTGGAAGCTGTCGATGGATTTTCTCCTCGACTATCGAGTTCAGGAGGTCAGTCGCCGTAGCTGAATGCGTAATAGACCTCTATCCGGTGCTTATCTTCGCCGTATCGCGCCGTAAAATCGTAATGCACCTCGGCGGTATAACCAGTTCTAACGGACGTTATCTGATGTTTCGGTCAATCCAAACAGGTAGCCTCGGATATCAACGTCGATTCATGAACTTTCGTAGGTCATGGCTGAGGAATAAGTGATTTGTTGCTGACGAGTACATAAGTCAAAATAGATAGATAAATCATTGGAGCGCACACATTATTTCCCGACGAAAGCATATTGTGGAGAATCCCATAAATCTTCCGACGCGCGATTAGTAACGCGCGAAATGTATCATCGTCTCGCGCGAAGCTACCCGAACAATGGAAAATCCAGGAGACATCCAGGAGACTATCTTGTCGAGGTGTGCGTCCTCAATTTCTCGCGATCTCGAGTGCTCGTCGAGCGTCGTCGGACAAACCTGTTGTGTCGGATTCTGCGGAATTTAATCGACTAATTTAATCGAATTTCGAGAAAAATTGATAATTCCGCGTCCGCATGGCCGATGTCGAAGAGCAGCAACCGCAAACTTGAACATTTTTCTCTCGTACGTTTAATCGGCATTCGTCTCGTGGCACACACAATCTCGTGGCGTAAGTGCATTGTTGTTGCTTTTCGTGCGAGTGCATACAATTGGAATGGGGCCAGTTATTTCCGCGAAGCGGCAATCGCTATATCGTCTGATTCCGCGCGTTTTCCATTAGACCAAGCCGAGGCGAGAGAAAGCCGGATTCGCCCATGCGGAATCGTCCGATTCTTTTTTTTGCGGGCTTTTGCCAAAGCCGATAATTTTTCGTTGCCTCGTCTATATAGTCTATAGTCATATTTATGAATATTTGCTTAATACACTCCTCACACATTGCGCGCGTCTCAACATCGCATACCTCACATTGCGCGATCTTCGCCTTCGTAATGCGCGGTATTCGTTAATAAGGTAAGTGAAATAAATTACGCTCGTTGGAACGAATGCTCACGGCATCATTTTTCCTCCGTCAGTAAGATGAAGTGGGATGAAGTACGTTTTATCGGATAGGAAAAGTACATTCATTCACGAAAAAGTCTAATTCAATTAAATGATGCATTGAAATCTGAAGAGAACTTGCAGAGATCGTGTATGAGACCGAGTCGCGCGTGTCGCGCGATTTTGTCTCTTGGTTTTATGACAAATGAAAGCAAGATTTCAAGCGAGATAAAGATAAAGCAAGACAAAGCCAACGAGAGCTGAGTCTCGGGCGATCCTTTTTCTTCTTCTTCGCGTGACACGCGCCTAAAAGAACGGCAAACGAGCGAGAAATCTCGCGTTAAATCGCGAATCGTCCGTGTTACACGCGCGGAAAGTCATACCGGTAAACATGTTTTCCAAGCGGTTTTATGTAACTGTTAAGGCAACTTTCGAACCGAGGTCAGCAGAGTCCGTCAAGTCGCGGCCATCACGGCAAAAAGTCTAATGAGCCATGAGCCTAATTAACGATACGAGTCGAGGATGACTCGGCGCGGTATGTCCGCTCGCGCGTCCGGCCACAATGCGCCTCCTCTCTCGGTGGCTTTGTCGTGCGCGAGCGAGCGAGCGGACGGCTTCGGGTTCTTCTTCGGTTCTACACGTTCACCGAAGGTGCCGTTTCTCCCGATCAGATTAGGCGTGTGAGGAGCGTAGAGAATCGCGACTGATAACGGGCCGGCCGCAGTGACAGGAAGAGAAACGGCGAAAGAGAAGAGCGCGATGCGCATCGATGAATGGGCGAGAGAGACCGGGCCTCGTAATTGCCGCGGCTATTGTTCGATTTTTGCACGACAGCCGCGAAAGACACCCGCCGTCATTTGCTACAGATTGTTCGAACGATAGCCGACGCAGGGGGGGGGGAGGGGATAAGGGTGCGCGATCGCGGGAGAGACGGTGAATTCCGACGTTTCACTGCCTTCAATGTGAAACTAATTAAGGGATTCTCTTCACGGGCGCGACCCGTGATAAATCCCGTGGATTTTGCGATGCATTCGAAGCGGTGCTTCTCTCTCTCTCTCTCTCTCTCTCTCTCTCTCTCTCTCTCTCTCTCTCGGCGAGAAATTCATCCGGTTTCGAGGCTGCTTTTTATCGCGTTTTGTCAATCTCCGAGAGATATTTTGACGAGAGAAATTAGGCTTCATTTCATTATGCATTATGAGGAAGTCCGCCGTGACATTTTTACCGTCGCTATCGTACACGTCGTGCATGTCCCTTGGTATCTCTTAAATATATCTAACGGGTTAAAAGCGTTTGCTTGTACGGTTCTTTCTTTCGTCGGTTTCTTCCGGTTCGATCACACACACACACACACACACACACACACGCTGCGGTCCATGATCCATCACGGACACATGCTTGACCTTGCACGTGCCGTGCGCGATCCCGCGGATCTGTTATTTCGCATCTCACCATCATCCGCTCGCAGCATCCAGCTCCTACGGGATCGTTTCCGTAATCTGATATACACCGAGAGCCACAAACCATCACGTGCTGGCGATTTGCCATTATTGTGCGCATACCTTGGCCCAGCCTGGCAACCTGCAGCCACCAGACGGACGCTGTTCTTTTCAGTATTTCGCAACGTAACAAAACGAGAAATTAATCGGATCGCTGCGCTCTGTCAGGTGTAATTTTATCGCACCGTCCGTTCCCGCGATTCTCGTAACGCGCGAATCACGAGTCTCGCGTGATGAGATAAGAACGAAAAACACAATAATAATTAATGCACGAGAAGCATGCAACTTCCTAAAGCGAGCGAAATAAATTGTGTATATATATATATATATATATATATACGTTCACCGTATCACGCGCTCGCGCAAGATTAAAGATGCATTTAAATGAAATCACAAGTCAACATCTCGTTATAACCGCATAACGTAAGGGGAAGAAGCGGTATATATGTTTGTCTAAACGCCGGCGGTTGCGACGGCGCGCGAACACATATGGTTTAATAAGCATTATAAGCGTTAATGGCGATGCGTGTCACTGCTTTCCTCAAAAATACCGACGTACGGTCGAGAAAGTCATTCACTCACGGTTGGGGTTATTAACGAGCGATTAGCGTCACGCCGAAGATTTACGATAATCCGCCGGTACCGAAAGAGAGAGGCATAGAGAGAGAGAGAGAGAGAGAGAGAGAGAGAGAGAGAGAGAGAGAGAGAGAGAGAGAGAGAGAGAGAGACAGAGAGAGAGAGACACTATCACGTCGCGATTTATCGTTATCGTTCGCGTATCCTGCACCATGTTGCGCCGTTATACTTCGTTATTCCTACGTGCACTATGATCGCACGTTGTGCGGCCTGAGCGCGGGATATATACCGCCATCGTGCTTTATTTTTATTTTTTTGTTGAATCGATGAAAATAGTGAGAGAGAGAGAGAGAGAGAGAGAGAGAGAGAGAGAGAGAGAGAGAGAGTGGCGAGAAGAGAGGGGAGGGAGAAGGGAAAGAGAGAAGCCAAGGCACTCGTTACTAACTAACGATATCGTATTATTCGATCCTGAGTATATCGGTGGTGCGTTTCATGTTCCGTCATATTTCTCATTCGCTTGCAACGGAGAACTGTGTCTAATTACTTAATAGGGGCAAGGAAATACACCATGCTTTTGTACAATATAAAGGTTTATTTGCATTTTATTTTTTATTCGTTATCTCAATTTACATATACAGTCTATATATGCATATATTAAACGTGTATCTCCTATTAACATATGCGATGAGTTCGTTAATTAAATATTTACCACGTCGAGTATGTACATAGCGTCGGCGGTGTTTCGAACACCTCTCTCTCTCTCTCTCTCTCTCTCTCTCTCTCTCTCTCTATCTCTCTCTCTCTCTCTGTCTCCGATTCTATCGCACACGCTTAATTGCTAATTTCATTTATAATGACGCGAGATCTCGGCTTTTTCTTTAAATTACCGGAACGAGTTTCGCCGCAGGAATCACTCTGTATATAAGTTTTCTTTCGATTTTCATAAGCTCGTACTCGATTCGCGGCTCAATATATATTATCTCAAATATATTTGTCAAGTCGAGAAAAAAACGTGTTCGTAAAATATTTCTAACATTTAGTCTGAAATTAACCATCTTAAATATATCTGATCTCTCGCTCTGAATCTCTGGCTGCTATATTTCTCCTTGATTCTCCTTGACTCCTTTTTTTATATTCCTCCGATTTCTCGTTCGTTCTAATCTTGAAGTGTTCTCGCAACTTAAGTAGGATTTGACGAAGGACCGAATCGAAGACCCCGTCGCTCACACCGTCCGTAAGCTTATTCGTCCGCGTTTATTCGCGCGATGTTTAATGCAACATCAACGTCGTTTCACAATCTCTAACTCTCGATTGAACCCTCGAATGAAAAAAAAAAAAAAAAAAGAAAAAAAGAAAGAAAACAAAAAGAAACGCTCCGGTCGTTAACAAAGTTGCTCTAGGAACAGATCCTTAAATGCTGCCGTAGGGACGTTTCCTAGTAAAGGCCGTTACGAGGCACTGTTTGCGCTGATATGGAAGCTCGGTTGTTCTCCGAAGTCCCCGCGACTACTTTCAAATACGAGAGATACTTCCTACAAGCAGCTGCAGGCTTTTCGATTGCATTTGCAATTGAGGTGTTGCAACCGGCAATTGGACATTGCCGTATCGCAATCGCACGCTGTGCGCTCTTGAGGAGAAAGGGGGAGGGGGAGGGGGAGGTGGAGACGGAGGCGGAGAGGGGTTATTAATTGTTCGACGCGCAATAAGGGAGCGACGCGAATTTTCTTCGTCGCTGTAGTACTCGAGCCCTCGTCGCGCGGGTCTCCGAGAGAAGCTGCTAAATGTTAGATTCGATTAGAAAAGACGAGGAATTCTGCATACACGCGTGCATCGCGATTAAGTTCAATAAATACACAGGAACTGGAAGGCACTAGGCGCGCGCATGACCGTGTTACGTTATGTCGTACCGAGAGAGAGCCCGCTTCGGATGGAAGCAACTTCCGCTCTCGATCTTTTTCATCACGTCTAAAAGTCTGGTCATTCGAAAATACATTGCACGATTTAAAGGCTAATTTAGGCACAGAGACACGAGTAAGTCGTCGCGCCCTACAAGTGGCGCGTTACTCGCGAAATATTTTATTTCCATACACGGGGTAACACACAGCAACATCCACGAGCAGTGATGAACGGAGATAACAGAACTCGGCTCGGTAATTTCGATCGAACGGTCAACGAGCGTCAACGAGTTATCCGTTTCGTGTCTGTTCGATGGATATATAACAATCGTCCACGCTTATCAACTACGTGAAAGTTAAGGCACTCGAGCGCGCAGCTCCATTTCCGATCGATTTATCATCCGACGGACAGACTTCGGCTTCGAAAACTTCGAAACACTTGGTTCTTTCGCGAAACGCGCGAAACACCTCTTGATCACTGCTTTCACAGACGCGGCGCAGACACTTTGTAACGATTCGCTCACGACATCTCATTTTCTTTCTCACTTTACTCCGCGCGGGAGTCGCGAATCCCGCAAGTGCCCGCAAGCGGGCAGAAGTTGCGGCGCTACGCGTTGCTCTCTATCGCGACGACGCTCTTCGAGATGGGCGTGAGGATGCTGGACTCTTGATCGGAATTAGGCGGCGTCAAGGCGTCCGCCGGACTCCTGGCCATCACCTGGGGCATCACCGCGTTGCCGTCCGCGTCCCCGACCTCGTCGCAGCGGGCCGCCTTGGCCGCGCCTTGGCCGACGGGGTTGTTGACGCTGCACTTCTTGAAGTGCGTCCGCATGTTGCTGCTCTGCGAGAACCTGAGGCCGCAGTTGGGGCAGGAGTACGGCTTGGTGCCGGTGTGATAGTTGAGGTGGGTCTTGAGGTGGTGCTTCTTGGTGAAAGCCTTGGAGCACAGGGTGCACTGGTACGGCTTGAGGCCGGAGTGCAGCCTCGTGTGGAGAGTCATGTTGGAGCGGTCGGCGAACGCTTTCTGGCAGACTTGGCATTGATACGGCCGCTCGCCGGAGTGCGTCCGCAGATGCTGCTTCAGCAGCATCTTCCGCGAGAACGCCTTGCCGCACTGCTCGCACTGGTGCGGCTTCACGCCCGTGTGTATGCGCACGTGCATGTTGTAGGCGACCCGCTGATTGAAGCTCTTGCCGCATTCCGCGCAGCCGTACTCCTTGCGGTTCCGGTGGATCTTCATGTGCGAGCTCAGGTAGCCGCGGTCGTTGAAGTACTTGCCGCATTCCGGACAGGTGGCCGCGAACTCCCGCGTGCCCTCGTGCACGCTGCGGTGGTACTTGTAGTTGCGCAGCTGGGAGAACTGCTTGCCGCAGTCGGCACAGCGGAACGGTTTCTCTCCGGAGTGCGTGCGGCTGTGCACCTGATGAGCACACACACAGACGAACGCGCCGATGTATCGGATAGACTCATAAGCAACCTTTCCTCTTTTTCTTTTTTTTCCCCTCTCTCTCTCTCTCTCTCTCTGCCCTCTTTAGAAACTCATTTATTTCATATTGCTGCGCGCGGAGCATGGCCTAACACGTGTTTCTCGTTCTAATAACTCATATTCGGGCGAGCAGGTTAATAGAGGCGGCTCGCCTGTCGGAACTCTCTCGATAGACAGCATCCGGAAGAAATTAATTAATTCGTTACTCGACTCGAGCTTTAATTAGGATTAAACGTCAACCGAGGCCATTTAAATGATATAAAATTGAAACGAGAAACGAGAAGAGAGGCTATGTCGAACGCGTGCTTTAACGTTTAACTCGCTCGATGTTGTAAACATGATATTAATAATGATATGATATCATACGATGAATTGAAATTGTTCAGTCTGACTCTGATTCATAGGATCTGAGAGTCGCGAGAGCGAGCGAATGAGTTTCTGTAGAACGCATACTTTGAGGATTTAGAGGGGACGCGAAATAGACACGCGACGTTCCAACGCGCAAATTAATTGACGGAAATTAATTCGATCGAATGAATTAATTGAAATTAAACAACTGACTGAATTAAGAGTTAACGTTCAATGAGAAGCGTACCTTGAGCGACGCCCTCGTGACGAAGGTCTTCCCGCACTGGTCGCACCTGTGGTCGTCGACGGACTTCCCGCGAGGAGGCACTTCTGTGTTAACGATCGTCTCGGTGTTGTTGTTGTTGTCGCTGTTGACGAAGATCCGCTCGTCCACGTTCTTCTCTGCGCTCGTCGCATCCGTCTCCACCGGGGGCACTCTCTGCTCTCTTTCATCAGTATCGATTGTGTCGCACAAACGGCTGATCGGATGTGACAGTTCAGGCTTCGTCGATGTTTGCGGGGCTGGTTGCGAGGTCGCGTATCCGCCGCACCCTCCGCTGCTCTTGCTCGTGATAACATTGTCATTGCCGGTGGATAACGGTCGGGCGGACGTATTGCTATTCTGGAAAGAGAGTGGCTCGTTGCTCCTCAACGGCGCGATCTGACCGGAGGGCGCGAATGGAAGCGGGGAGCTATAGATCTCCTGGATCCTCGGCTCCGGGCCGCTGATCATCTCGCGCGGTCTCGCGTCGCCGTTAAAGCTCGTCTCGCAGTTGATAGGAACTTCGAAAGCGTAGAGGCCCCCCCCATCGTTTCGCGGCACGTTCCTGGGGGATTGGATCCTCGGGCTCATCGATATTATCGTAGACCGTGGTGGTGGTTCGGGTGTCGGCGGCTTCTTCTGCATCTCCATCTGCAACAGTTATCGAAGCGTGCGCCTTCTTACTTGCGCGATCGATCTCTCGACAGCATTTTATCCTCTAATTTTTTGAACCCGAAGATTTCGGAAAATAAGTAAAAAGTTCACGGCGAGACTGACTTTTTAAAGAGCGCGGATCAGAATCGTTCGTTATCTGTTGATGAACACTTTTTTTTAGAACATATATCCGTTGCAATTTACATATATTTATTTAAATTTTTATACTTTTTATTATTTATATCGCTATTTTTTTAGGATACATTTGCATATTTTTTCTCTCGTTTGCGAGCCTTGTGTGACCTTACGTGAGTGAAAGTGATCTGCCAAATCGAACTCACTCGTTACTATTATTAATCATATTTGTTAATTTTCCCGCGGGGAAGAAGGAAACGACTGCGATATGGCGATTACTCGCGCGTAATCGAAACGTCGCGTCGCGGCGTATCAGCGCGTTTCAAAGTTCAAAAAAAGTTCGTCACTTTTTTCGTCGCGACTTTCAGTCACGGTTGCTTTCAGCAATCGGCTCCTTGCTATGCTCGCCGATATAACATGCTTCCGAAATGTCAAGGCATCGCGACATTTATATAGAATAGACGCTAGCTTGCGAGCTCGTATCTTTCTTGCGCACTCATGGTTCAAAGAATGGCCATTGTTGTTTACAAACTCGCGAGCTGATCTTTGGTACGTATCTCGCGGAAGTTTCTATCTAAAAGACGCGTGAATGATTGGTAAATTTCTTTCACCTTTTTACGAATTGCACCCTGTCTAGAATATCATAAATTACATTCTTCTTTCCCGACAGCGATCTTAAGCTCTCAACACCTGTCCCGCGGCAGGAGTAATCGCTCGTTGCGAATTTCAATCGAGCGTAGCGTTGAAGAATAGTTTCCGAACTCCGCGTCCGACAAACATGGCACGAGCCATTGATCGTACGTTGACTGTTTTCCATCTGTTAAGTGCTATGCTAAATGAAACACCTCAGTACTCGGTAAATGCTCACGAACGCGTGCGCGAATAATGAACCGCGTCCGGAAAGAACACAAGAAAGCGGCAATTAGAAAGTTTCCGATTGTGACAATTTAACCGATGCCATTCGACAGTTCGAACGCGCGATGGCTGTGGCCCCCCCCCCCCCCCGGGCGTGACGAGGAAAGCGGACGTCATTAGGATGCAAATTATTCAGACGTGTATATAATATCTTCTCGACGACAGCGCGCCAAATACAAATCGACCCGATAAAATCCAACCGTTAGAGCGACCTCGCTCGTTTGAAAGTACGGCGGTTATCGCGCCATTTTTGCGCATTCCGCGCGGATTGAACAGCCGCTCTCTAATCGAATCAGAGGACACGCGCGGAATTCACCCCGTCGGATTGCACCGCCTTTCACACCTGCAACGATTTCTCTTCTTCTCGTTTGTTTTTCAAATCATGTTCCGCTACCCTTCGCGCCCGTCAGCTTGTTAGTCGGCCGTTTTTCGAGATATTTTCCGGATCCGGCAGATCGCTGATACCGTCCATCACGTTCATTCGCAAGAACTCTCCGACGCCGCGAGAGCAGCGCTGTCATTGCGTAATTGGATCGTAACGCGGGAAGTAAATCGCGAGTAAATTGGCTCGTTCTTATCTCGTTTCAAGCGGAATTTGAAAGACCGAGATCTCTTAAGATGAGACGGACAATGCGTCTTTTTTCAGTCTTCGGTGTTTGAGTATAATTTCAGACTTCTTCTCAAAGAGCAAAACGGACGGAGCGAGAACGTGCTTTCTCCAAACAATGATGCGCCAAGAAACGGAGGCTCTTTTTTTCGCGAGCTCTTTCGCCGCGACGCGACGTGCGCAGGGAAATCTCGGCCGGACCGGCCGGCCGGGTCCTTATCCGCTTCGTCCTTATCCCGTTGCAATCTCGGCCAATCTCGGTGCTCGGTGCAAGCTGCACCGGCGCGGCGGCTGTTTGCGCAAGCGATCGTCGCGTCACGACGAAATCCACGAAATTCGGCACGCATCCCGTCGAAAGAGAAAACGCCCAGGTTCCCAGGTCGTAAGGCGTCCGTAATAACGCGCGCGACGGACGCGCAGCTGGCGTCGCCAGCTGGCGACGCGCAATCACGGCAAGCGCGGCCTGATAAACGAGCGCGGGTAGAGCGGGCTAACTGATAGAGCTGCATTAAGCGGAACGATATCGATCCGAGTGAAGGGCGACGCAGGTGGAAGCTCGCGCGCGCGGGGCCAACGTGTCACCTGTTGACGACGATGCCTGCGCATCGAGCGCGCAGCAGCGGGCGCGCGACTGCGTGCGTGCGTGCGTGCGCGCGCGCGCGCGCGCGGCGTTTTCACTGTCTATTAATTCAATTAACCCTCTTAGCCAGGCGCCGTAATAGCACGTAATTTCTATTAGTGTCGGAAAGGTCGGTCTTGATCGCGCGTTTATAAACGTGGCCGTATCTGTGATCGTCAAGCGAGTAACAACACGTGATACGTGAGAGTCGTTTGCAACTTGAGGAGACCTGCCAGACCAGAACTAGAATTATACCGAACATTTATCAGCGAGCGAACGAATGAACGAACGAACGAACGAACGAACGAACGAACGTTGTCATTAGCGTACGTGAGCGGGTCTCCGTTAGTGAATAAACGCGAAAGCGCTTAATTGCGTGAGTAATCACGGTATTTAAGCGCGGTACGCGTGCTGCGTTGCACATAGGGTGGTCCACACTAGCTCTTTATAGCTCTCGATATCTCGATATCGACAGTATTTCATTGATTTCAAAGATTTAGATCTTGAATTGTATGGATCTGCAGGAACTGGAGTGGAAATTTGCCTTCCAATTTGCCTCGGTCGGCGTATGGGTGGGGTAGAGTCCACGATGGACATTTCGATAACGAACATTTAATAAATTGGACAAGTCGGAATGTAGAGAGTGTCGTAACTTTGACTTCACGCGTTCGTATTCGCGAGCGTCTCATGTAGCTATAAATCGAAACTTCATACCGTTATATTTTGTAATAAAAAATGCTCTGACAAAAAATGTTCCAGATGAAACTAAATTGTTTCCTTGGAAGAATACAAAAATGTAATTTAAAATTGTAAAACTATTCCTCGCCTCAGCTATACGACCGGGAGCTGGGACACTAACCTCCATTCCAATTTGAAAGCCCTTCATATCTATACAATTTAAGACCTCTCTAAATCTTGCTTATCTTAAAGTCAATGAAATATTCTCCGAGATATCGAGCTGTAAAAAGTTATGTGGGCCATCCTGTGTATACATATGAGTTTAGTAGTGTTACTTTCGCTCGGTTTATTTTACTACTATCGTTTTATCGACTGTATATATTTTAAAAAATGGCTAAAACTGGCTCTATATATATATATATATATTTCACACCGTACATTTTATGACATTATGCAAATCTGCCTTTATATGTGCAATTGCAACCGGAGAATGTCGCGCGTCAGCTCGTTCAGCAGTATATCCTTTAAGATCCACCTATAAAGGAAAAGCTGCTGTCGTATTCCAAATAGAATTTCAATGATGTAGCATCTAATCCGGTTCACGAATACTTAGCAGAAGCCGCCGCAAGTACGGGATAACGGCCGAAGCGAGACGTTCGATTATAGATACGCGATAAGCCTTTGATGAAACCTTCGGCAAAAAAACCAGGCAAAACCGGACTCAGGAGTCAAGGTTTCTAACAAAATACGATATCTGATATTTCGATTTCTGTAGCAGCTAACGAACTTGCGAGGAAGTTCAGACACTGCTTCAGTTAATGACAGCAGATTTATACGCGCAATTTATCGTAAAATCATGCAGTGTGTTTCAGGTCACATCTTTCTCGTTCTTTCGTCTCTATTTGCGTTATTTGTTAATGTTTTAGAAAATCATGCGGAAGATTGCTCTCGATATATAAAATACGCTTCAGAGTTTCTCATACCAGCCAACGAAGTTTCTCCTCTTCTCGTCGTGATCTTGCAGAGTCCGCGCATTTATGAGTTTTTGCATTTTACAAGTTAATGGACGACTGAAGGAGTATAAAATTGCACGCGGGAGAGAATGGAGTGGAATCCGTTCTCTCGCACGCGTATTATAATTGGTCGAAAATCGCGAGAGCGATTAATGTCACTGCAACTTCGTGAAACGCGGAAAATGTAGTTTCTACATAATTATCTCGTGAGCGATATATAGAGGTGGCCTGGGATATATCGTGGGCATTTTCCCTCGTTAATCTTGCGCTACGATGACACACATTCGACGTGTCGCCTCAATATGTCTCGCTTCTGCTACTTTAATTAAGGGCGTAACGGTTTATCCTCGCTACGTGCTATTTTGCGAAAACTAGATTCATCGTCGTGTGCAATGAATCACGATACCAGCTGTGTGCTGCTCGGAGTGAATACTCGGCGAGCAAGTCGCACGCGAAAACTGATTAATCTGCTCAATTCATACGCGCGTAAGAAGAGCGAATATACATATCATAAAGTCGATGTCGATGTAAATTTATATCAATCGGTGAACGTAAAAAAAAAAAGAGGTACGCTTGTAAGCGCATTCGAAACTCCTTCAAATTGTTTTCGTTTCGCGACGTGAAACGTCTGGCAGTTATCGGCTCGCGTGAAAATGAAAGAGCCCACCGCATTGGCTATGTATTTAAATGATTGACACAGTGTGGTCGTTGAATCAGCTTCTTTCACAGCCCGGCAAGTTTCCCGGCGTCGTGGACGCAAACACGGACGTTTGATTGTGTCGTACGACGGCGTTCAACCTCAGCGTAGTTCCCACCCAATAGAGCCAGTCTTTTCGTGGGTATCGGTGGGGATCGGTGGGTATCGGTGGGTAAATCCCGGCAACGGGATTTTGACGGGTGTCCTGAAATACTCCGTACATCCTAATCGTGTATGCACTGACCGTGGAACTCCGCACGCTCCTCTCTTTTCGATAATCACTGTAAACTGTTGAGGAGAGAAGTTGTTTGATTCCCACAAGAACCGGTTCTCACATTGTACGACAGGGACCTCTTTTTTCCTCTTCTTTTTTTTTCTTTTTTTTCCTTTTTCTACGTACCACCAGTATATAGTGTGTGTAACACGTCTCGACAGGAGCAGAATGACTTATCGATTAAGAGATTACGCGTCGATTACGCGTCGATGCGACATTGAAGATTAAAACGATTCTTCCCGTAGCGTGGAATTTTTGTGACTCATAAAAGTGAGTTTACGCAATTGCGCGCAGAGGAAATTTGAGATAAGCCGTGAAGCAATTTATTTTTACAAAAACGTAAACTTCTCGAGATCGCCGCGCAAGATGCGCGGCAGCCGAGTGTACTCATCGAGTACACTCTCACCGTGAGTGGAATTGAAAAGCGTTGTCTGGCAAATGCGGTCAGAAAAAAGATCTACCGAAGAGAGCAGCCGCTCTTGGAATCTTTAATTCCGATTAAACCTGGACGGAGCTCGCGATCGACGGTACTCACATCATCGAGCTGACGTTCGACGGGCCTTGTTCTCGGTGAATGATGAGGCCTGATGATCTGGCGCCACGGCGACGCGGTGACGCGGTTGGCCACGTGCCTGCGGGCGGTCCTCCACCTACAACAACTTTCGCCGCAGCTGAGATCCTCGCCCGCCTGACCGTAATCGGGCCTCTCGTACGACCTCGTTCGACCGGCGGCGCATTGCAAGGACGACGACTGCATCCCGCTCGGGTAGGGGCACTCGCTGCGACTGTAATCGTCCCGTGTTCTTCCGCAAAACTCGCCCGAGCCACCCGCGCTCGCGTCTTCATCCGTCGGTTTGCCGGTCACGCAATTCATCACCTGCAACCTCTCGTATCCCGTGCGAATCCTCTCGAGCGGATCCAGCCCGGCGTATCCTTCCGCAGCGGATCCGACCGGTGGAAGGCACGTGGTCGACTGGTACACATTGAAGAGCGGCTCACCACCGCTGGGAACCGCTGGGATCGCGTGGTTCTTGTCGGCGTGGCGCTCGTGCGCCGGTCTACCTGTCGTCGAGATGTGATCTTTCTCCGCTGCGGGTTCTCCCATAGTTCGGTCTTGCTGCACGAAGCCACCGATTGGCCATGCGCTCGCGCAGGTAGGCGTGAACGCCGACCTGACGGGACTGTCGAGCTCATGGAGCGTCCTGGTGTCTCTGAGGATGTCCCTGCTGTTTTCCGGCGCAGGATATACCCTGCCGCAGGACTCTTTCCGATCGTACGAGTCCTCGTAGGGTAGCCTCGACGATAGCCTTGCCGATCGGTACCACCTGTCGGACGATGGGTACTGGTCGCACTGCAAGTACTTGGGGCTGACCTTGACGTCCTTGACGTCCTCCAGCTTGCAGTCCGCCTGGTCCGCTCTGCACGTCATCACGACTGGCACCGGCGGCAGCTGAATGCGCAGGGCTTCGGCGGCGCGCAGAAACGCATCCAGTCGAACTCGCGGCACCGTCGCGCTTCCGGTGTACACGAAGCCGAGGAGTGCCGCGAGTTCCGGCGCCTCCACCTCCGCCAGAATCACCGTGATCGGCTCGCAATGAACGGCGGATTTGCTGTGCGCCAGCAGTACCTCCTGCGGGAAAAAGAGCGACGATTTCGATTATTAGTGTCGGGAAACGCGGCGTGATGGGAGTAATGACGGTAACATCAGGCGGTCAGTTGTAAAAGCATCGGCCGAAGAGAGATGATTTCCCGCACGAGTGCTCGCGGCAAAAATCACGGATCAGATAAGACGGCGGGCTAAGAGGAACTGAAAAATTTATAGGTGAGTGATATGCTCCGATATATCATAGGCGGCCTGTGTGTCGGTGGAGGATCTTTAATAGCGTGTTACATAGCGGGCGCGCAAATAATTACATGCATTAAGAACATTTACCAGACTTTTGAGAGATTATCGCACGCCTGCTGCATAAGAAGGTTAAACTTGATTACCGTCCTAGTTTTCAGACGGAAAATCTCAACTTCCATGATTACAAGAGCGGAAACGGCTGCGCACTCGGCGCAGTTGCATATTACTTGCAGCAATTTTTTCTTCCAATAATATAACAAGAATATAGAATAGCGATGTAGCGCACTTTGATATGCGCATCGAAATGACCGCATTAACAGTCATCGACTCGATGATAAGCTCGGGACTTTCTACGTCATTCGGCGGTTTATTTTAACGCGCTCGTAAAGATCACATTTGATTTACTTCCTCTTTTCTTACGTCATTATTCGCACGCGGATAATGGAACGTGGACAATGAATTACGAGCGTTTCATTGTTGACAGGCTCGAGAGGATCGTACACATCGTATAAAGAGAAAGAGAGAGAGAGAGAGAGAGACAGAGGTAACTGTAATTACGCGGAGTCGGCGATCGATTCGACGCTTTCCAATTTATTCTTGCAATTAATCGCTATTGGTCTATCACTGAGAGAGAGAGAGAGAGAGAGAGAGAGAGGGAAGGGGAAAGGGAAGAGAGATCAGGGCAGCAATTCAAATTGACCTACCGGCGTCATTGGCGGCACACGCGAATTATGACAGTAGTCGCGATGCACTCTTGCGTTCCATTATGTAATAGCTGCGTGTAAAAGTACACTGTAAAGTTTTGAGCTTTAGATTCGCGAGACGAAACGCGCTGCATGAAGTTGTCGCAGACAAGGCGATTAATATCGATATTGGGTCAATTAAAATGCCCTCTAGATTCTATTTCTTACGACTAGTAATTATGACTAGTAATTCGGGTCGAGCTAAAGTTTCCATTTTAGACGCGTCTACCGTCCGCGAGTTTCTCTGCAAAAGTTCCACGTGATTTCTCCCGACTTCCGACTTCCTTGTTGATATTTTACGCCTGCTGCGGGGCTGCAGACGCCTCGCGCAGCCTTCAATCATTCTCCTTCGCGCCGCTCCACAAGCATTTTAACGCATCGTTGCGTTGAAAAATGACGAGAGCATCGTTCCTGCATGTAGACGCAAATGAAACGCTGGTAGTAAGTGTTCGGTTGCACCGGCTCCGACAGCTTGATGCAACTTTGCCGCACCGTTGGCGTACCACCAGTGGCGTAGACAGAATTTTTCGACTCTTACGCAAATACCCGCCAATGCTACCAGCTCGCTTCGCCTCATTCCGGATATGCGCGTATCGATCTCGCGTATGTTATCTCAGGCAATACCAAAAGAAACGAAAATGATCACGTCAAGCTGACTCGAAAAAATGCCCGCGTGCAAAAAATGCGCGCAAAAAATGGCTTTTTAACGCAGGCTGACGACAAGACTGACATTTTACTTCCGTCGGATGACGTATCTGTGAAGAGGATTTCGATACGGCCCACGTTTGAAGCCATCAGGGATGTGGCGGTCTGTAAAAATCCAGCGATTACCGATATCCATTAGACGCGCCTCATCGAGCTCAGCTCGTAGGGGAGTTTATTTAGCGATCGTGGGTTTCTCTCGCGGTAAAATGCGAGGTATTGTCGAGTGTCTCGAGTGTCCCGCGTCTCAGCACGAGCTTCATCTCCATACGAAAAAATGCATCTTCTATTAATAGCGCCTCTCTTCGGTTCGCGAGGAAGAATGATGGAAAATTCGACTGAGCGACGCGCGCGCACACTCGACCTTTCTTTCCGCGGCAAGCTGGAGAAAACAGGTCACGATTCGCGCTCGTGCGTGAATCTTTGCCGCATCCGTGCCGTGCGATTCTTCTTATCGCGCGGTAGCTACACCCTTGGCAGCGGCACCGCAAGGCCATCCCGGCGTTTTTACCTGGCGGTGAGCTCGGGCGCAATTACTTAGGATTAGTGTTTGCGCGTATTGCCCTCGAATCGTAAATATTTCCGGAAGCGTTGCATCGCCTGCAGTCGGAATATATTTCGCGCCGGCGCGGCGCGGCGCGGCGCGGCGCGGCGCGGCGTGGCGCGGCGCGGCGAGGTGAGGCGCGGCGAGGTTAGGCGAGACGAGGTGAGACGTATAATCGCGACGAGTACAAAGTAGACTTTTCTCCCGGCGAGGCAATCAAGGCTGCCGCGACGCGTTTATCACCGAACGCGCACCGTCGACATAATCAACGATGTAATAAGCGTTATTTTGATGTTATCTCGTATGTGTTTTACGGACTCTTTAGGCAGCGTAGGTTGCTGGAGTCTAACTAGTCTCGCGGTATCTAGATCTATGGAGTTTACGGCGCGCGTCTCCGACTCCCCCCTTCACCCCTGACGCAGTCAGATAACGCTTGTACTGTCTCTGATAACTCCATCTCCGTCTCCAGATGCTAATCTAGCGGCAACGTCGATCAATATCGCTGGGATTTTCTCGCGGCTAAGCGCCTGCCGGAAGTGTCCGCAAACGCGACGTTGCAGACACAATGTGTATGAAAAATTTCAATTGCCATTTATCGCGCGAATCGCTCGTCGCTGCTTGCGTGCGCGGCGAGACGATAGCGGCGTCTCAAGTTACCCGCCAATTTGTTGCCACCAATATCGAAGCCCGGCATCTGTGAGCGCTAAACGGTTATCGGTCTCAAGCTGAGAGCGGAATTTTTCCGCGTCTGCTTCCATCGATTTATACATCAATCCATCGCGCGAGACGTCGGTCGCACCATCGGGATCTATCAATCAATAACTACATCGCTACAAATATCCGCGCGCTGATCTCTGTAATGGACTGAGAACGGTTAATGGCTTCAAGCTGCGCGCGACTTTTCAGTCCGTTTCTGCGGATTTATGGACCGATCGATCGCGCGCGCGCGCGCATTTGTGCAACGCGACGACCACTGCCGGGACCTTGTCGATCAAAACGCGAGCGTGCGGTAATACTCCGACAAGAAGCGCACGTTTTCTATCCGCAGCCGCGATGTGATCTATCGCGCGCGCGCGCGTATATTCGACCAGCGCGTTACGAAATTCACGGTGCGCGGTCGAGAGCACTCCGATCGGATCCTCGCCTCGTCTTGTCCGTGCAATGTAATTATAGTAATCGGGGAATCAATTTTCGAAATAAGCGCTCGATCGGGACTTTTTGTCCGCTCGTGTGTGCATGCGCGTGTGTCGGTTTCAGCTTCCCACGAGAGGTAGCGCACAGTTTCGCACCTACTTCGCGTAATTGCAGGTACTCCACGAAGAGTGCGACAGCGCGTTACGGCATTTCAGCAAATATGTACATTTCGTGAGGAAATGCATGGAAAGATCTCGCGACTCTCGAGTCGTCGAGTCGGGTCGGGCCCAGTCGAGTCGAGTCGAGTCGACTGGGCCCGACTATCCGAGAAGAGTCACGAAAGAAGTCGGGGAAAGAAGTCCACTAGAGAAGTCGCGCGCGCGATGAGTATTTGCCAGACGCGAGATTTTCTTCTTGAAGAAATTCCTCAAACTTTCCACCGTAAAAACGGTGGAGCGGCTCCACGCGTTCATCTTCGACGACTTATCGTCGCCGCCATCGTCGTCGAATTTTCCGAGTTACTCAATCCCTCATTCGCGGATCTCTTCTTCCACAGAATCTTTCGCGCCTGTCGCAATTGTCAAGCACCTCGCGAATCCTCGCGATTAGCTTCGCGCGCTCGGATAACAGCGAGATTTCATGACGCGCATCGAGTGCTGCGCTAACGAATCAAATCCTGCTCGGGGCAGGAGGGAGGGGGGGCGGGGGTTTCAGCCTTTCTAGATAAATAGATAAATTTCCGGAATCGTAGCGGGAATCGCGAGCTCTTGTCAGGCCGAACTCACGATCTCGCCTGCCGAGTGGCGGGGCAAAGGTTGACGATAATGAGAGCCGGGACGATAATTATTATAGGAAACTCTCTCAGGAGGAGAAACAGCTTGCGCGCGCTCGAAACGCATATATTGAATGCAACATTCTGCACGCCTCGTGGCCGCGCAATCGGCGTGAATACCGTCGTCCTTATGGCCGCGGGTGTTGCAACAACAGCGCGAACGAATATCACTTGGTTTTTATTAGAAAGCATCGCGAATAAGCGCTGCGCGCGTATGGCGGTTCGCGCGCGCACGAGAGCGCGCTGTTGCGCTCAAGACGATAATTATGCGATTTCGTGGCCGAGAAAACGCCGAGAGCCGCGATTTAATCGCGTCTACGAGAATTCGAACCGTGTTTGAAATTATTCGAATCGACGAGCGCGCGCGCTTGGCGCGCAATTGGAAATAATTACCGGCGAGAGGGGAAACCGCGCTCGCGCGCGCGCGCGGCGAGCGTAATCGCTAAACGGAACAAGCTCCGTTTAAAGGGTCAGTTCGCACGGTATGTATAACGTCCGCGTCAACGTCACGTACCGTCGACGTGACGTCGAAGCGATCGTTGGGTGCTCGCAAACGGCGAGGTCGATCCGCGTTACACGTGATAAAACGGCAACGTCACGTCGCGTGCGTCAAAAGCGTTCCCTTCGAAGCGCAATAAAATCGCGCATTCGCGCATTCGCGAATGAAGAAATAGCAGGTATATTCTCGAAAAGGCCATATATCTCGCTTTCGAAACAGGCAGAACGACGGGAAATTACGTGGAATAATTAATCGTCACATTCACACGCGAGTATTCGCTTTCAGATGCGATTACGTTGTTAAGTACTCGTAAAAAACATTCCGATTTAT